GACCACAAAAAGATGACTGAGAATAAGCAGGCAGGACTCTCCTCGCTACAGTCACATTTGGTAGTTGCAGGAGGATATGCCCCAACACAGGGTTCTACATGTAATACAATAATATCAAAATAACCCAAGAAAATCATAGCATTCCCAGGAACATCAAAAATAAGAATAATTTTTTAAAGTGCAAGACGTATACAATGAAAACGACAAAAGATTATTGAGAGAAAGTAAAGAAGAGCTAAATAAAGAGGTACACCATGTTCAAAAATTTCAAGAATCAATATTGGTAAGATGTCCATTCTTCCCAAACTGACCTACATATTCAACATAATCCCTAACAAAATCTCAGCAGACTCCTCCTGTACAAGATGATCATCTGATTCTAAAATTTCTATGGTAATGCAAAAGACAGAATATCTAAAAAATTGTTTGAAAAAGAAGAACAATGTTAGAAAACTAACAGTGCCTGATTCAGAGGAAAAAACAAACTAATTATAAACCTACCGAAATAGAACTAGTGTGACACTGGCATAAGGATGGACATATAGATCAGTGAAACACTGACATGTCACTTAATTTTAATGAAGGTGCCAGTGCAATTCAATGGAAAAAGGATAGTCTTTTCAAAATTGATGCTAAAAAACAACCGAAGACTTCGTTCCTGGCCATGGTGGATATGTTTCCTCCACAGGGATTTTGTTGGGTCAGTGGAGGTGTGCTGGGTCTTAATACCTGCTTATGATGTGAGGAGGCTGGGCCAGGAAAGAGTCCTGACAGTAACAACGTTTGAACTCTAGAGGAAAAAGATCCTAGCCTCCTGGCATAGGCACAACTGTTGGAGAATATTGAATTACTTTGTTGTTTTTGAGATAAGGTCTCACTCTGTTGCTCAGGCTGGAGTGCAGTGGCACGATCTTGGCTCACTGCAACCTCTGCCTCCTGGGTTCAAGCGATTCTCCTGCCTCAGCCTCCCCAGTAGCTGAGATTACAGGCACGTGCCACCACGTCTGGCTAATTTTTATATTTTTAGTACAGATGGAGTTTCACTGTGTTGGCCAGGCTGGTCTCAAACTCCTGACCTCATGATTCGCCTGCTGTGGCCCCTTCTCTTCATTTTTTAAAATGAATTACACGTTTTGTACTAAAGACGGGGTTTCACCATGTTGCTCAGGCTGGTCTGAAACTCCTGGGCTCAAGCAATCCTCTGGCCTCTGCCTCCCAACGTGCTTATAGGCATGAGCCACCAGTGCCTGTTTCCTCAGATGCATCCAAGTTGCATGCATCACTGGTTTGCTTCTTTTTATTGCTTCTTATTCCATGGTATGTATATGTTGCAATTCATTTAGCCATTTATCCACTGAAAGAAGTTTGGATAGTTTCCCAGTTTTTTTCTGTTACTAATGAAGACACCAGGAACACTCATGTATAGGTTTTTGTGTGAGTATGTGCCTTTATTCTTCTGTGATAAATGCCCAAGAGTACAATTACTGGGTTGTATGGCACGTGCATGTTTAGTTTTGGAAGAAACTGCCTGGTTGTTTTCCACAGTGGCTGCACCATTTTATATTCCCACCAACAATGTAGGAGTGATTCACTCTCTCCATGTCCTACCCAGTATTTGGTGTTATCTCTATTTTGAATTTTAGTCATTTTGATAGGTGCATCGTGGTTTTATTTTGCATTTCCCTAACAGCTAGTGATGTTGCACATCGTTTAATGCACTTACTTTCTATCTGCATGTTTTTTAAGAAACGTTTTTTTCATGTCTTTTACCCATGTTCTAATTGGACTTTTTTTTATTTCTTCCCATTTCATTCCTCTTTTTCAAAGTTGCCTTAACTATTCTTTTTTTTTTATTTTTGAGTTTGAGCTCTTGATATATTCTAGATATAAGTCCTTTGCTGAATATATGGTTTGCAGGTTATTTTCTCCCAGTTTCTATCTGGTCATTTTATATTCACAGGTTCTTTCAAAAGGCAAATGTTTTAAATTTTGATGAATTCCAATTTACTGATTTCTTATCCCAGCACTCTGGGAGGCCCAAAACAGGAGAATTGCTTGAGCCCAGGAGTTTAAGACCAACCTGGGCAACACAGTGAGACCCCATCTCTATAAAAAAATGTTTTAGGCCGGGGGCGGTGGCTCAAGCCTGTAATCCCAGCACTTTGAGAGGCCGAGGCGGGTAGATCACAAGGTCGAGAGATCAAGACCATCCTGGTCAACATGGTGAAACCCCGTCTCTGTTAAAAGTACAAAAAATTAGCTGGACATGGTGGCGCGTGCCTGTAATCCCAGCTACTCAGGAGGCTGAGGCAGGAGAATTGCTTGAACCCAGGAAGCGGAGGTTGCGGTGAGCCGAGATCGCGCCATTGCACTCCAGCCTGGGTAACAAGAGAGAAACTCCATCTCAAAAAAAAAAAAAGTTTCAATTGTTTTAAAGATTAAAGATTATACTTCAATAGAATTGTTCTTATAAAAAAAATTAATTAAATTTAGCTGGGTGTCATGGCACATCTCTGTAGTCCAGTCACTCTGGAGGCCAAGGAGGAGGATTGCATTAAGCCCAGGAGGTCGAGATGCAGCAACTATTAATTGCATCACTGCCCTCCACCCTGGCAACAGAGCAGGACCCTGTCTCAAAAGAAATAAAAACAAGAAGTTTCTAGAGTCCTGCCTTATAATCTGTACAGGCCTGGACAGAGACACCAAAAAACGCCACAGATAAGGCAGCTGCCAGAAGAAAAATGACCTTGTTAAGGCAAATTGCAGGAGCTTCCCTCTCTATTAACCTTGGGGGGACTTCCCTCTCTATTAACCTTGGGGGGGCTTCCCTCTCTATTAACCTTGGGGGGGCTTCCCTCTCTATTAACCTTGTGGGGGCTTCCTATTAACCTTCTGGGGGCTTCCCTCGCTATTAACCTTCTGGGGGCTTCCCTCTCTATTAACCTTGGGGAGACTCCCCTCTCTATTAACCTTGGGGGGTCTTCCCTCTCTATTAACCTTGCAAGGGCTTCCCTCTCTATTAAACTTGCAGGGACTCCCCTCTGTATTAACCTTGCGGGGGACTTCCCTCTCCATTAACCTTGCAAGGGCTCCCCTCTCTATTAACCTTGGGGGGGTTCCCCTCTCTATTGACCTTGAGGGGACTTCCCTCTCTATTAACCTTTCAGGGACTTCCCTCTCTATTAACCTTGAGGGGGGTTTCCCTCTCTATTAATCTTGCAGGGGCTTCCCTCTCTATTAACCTTGGAGGGGTGGCTTCCCTCTCTATTAACCTTCGGGGGGTGGCTTCCCTCTCTATTAACCTTGCAGGGCTCCCCTCTCTATTAACCTTTGGGGGGCTTCCTTCTCTATTAACCTTGCAGGGGTTTCCCTCTCTATTAACCTTGCAGGGCTCCCCTCTCTATTAACCTTGGGGGGACTTCCCTCTCTATTAACATTGGGGGAGCTTCTCTATTAACCTTGGGGGGGCTTCCCTCTCTATTAACCTTTCAGGGACTTCCCTATTAACCTTGGGGGAGCTTCCCTCTCTATTAACTTTGGGGGGCTCCCCTCTCTATTAACCTTGGGAGAGCTTCCCTTCATATTAACCTTGCAGGGGCTCCCCTCTCTATTAACCTTGGGGGGCTCCTCTATTAACCTTGGGAGAGCTTCCCTCCATATTAACCTTGTGGGGGCTCCCCTCTCTATTAACTTTGGGGGGCTCCCCTCTCTATTAACCTTGGGAGAGCTTCCCTTCATATTAACCTTGCAGGGGCTCCCCTCTCTATTAACCTTGGGGGGCTCCTCTATTAACCTTGGGAGAGCTTCCCTCCATATTAACCTTGTGGGGGCTCCCCTCTCTATTAACTTTGGGGGGCTCCCCTCTCTATTAACCTTGGGGGGCTCCCCTCTCTATTAACCTTGGGGGGGCTCCCCTGTCTATTAACCTTGGGAGAGCTTCCCTCTGTATTAACCTTGCAGGGGCTTCCCTCTCTATTAACCTTGGGGGGCCTTCCCTCTGTATTAAACTCACAAGGATTTCCATCAGTATTAAATTGGTGAGACCATTCAACAAGATTTTTAACTAAAAACAGGGAATAGTTGGGTAAAATATTCCCACATTTTAAGGTCAAAGTTCCAGGGCAACAAAACTCTGGCGATTTTAAACTACTTTATCATGACTGTTTCCTCCCTCTCAGTATGCATTTACTAGAATGGCTTTTTTTTTTTTTTTTTTTTTTTTTTTTAAGACTGAGTCTGGCTCTGACACCCAGGCTGGAGCACAGTGGAGCAATCTGGGCTCACTACAACCTCCACCTCCTGGGCTCAAGCAATTCTCCTACCTCAGTCTCCCAAGTAGCTGGGACTACAGGCACACATCACCACTCCTGGCTCACTTTTGTATTTTTTGTATAGAGACAGGGTTTCACAATGTTGCCTAGCCTGGTCTCGAACTCCTGGGCTCAGGCAAACCACCCACCCTGGTATCCCAAAGTGCTAGGATTACAGGCATGAGCCACTGCATCTGTACTACTATTATTCAAAATAAAAATACATCTAAGCCCCAAATTTTATAAGAAGTGTTAGAATAGTTCTAGTTGTATGGAAAAGGAAATAAGTTAGGCCACACGAAAAATTAAAACATATAACTTTTAAGAAATATGATTAATTTCTCTAATATTTATATAAAATATAACTGGTTATATCAAAAATACAATAATCCCCAAATTAATTACAAGTACTTCTGACTTAATACATCTATCTCCAATGATAAGATACAATGTACATAATTTTTCCCCCAAGATTCTCATTGCTATGGTTCAGATGTGGTTTGCCCCCACCCAAACTCATGCTGAAATCTGATCCCCAGTGTGGCACTCCTAGAGGTGGGGCCTGGTAGGAGGTGATGGGTCATGGAGTGGATTCCTCATGAATAGACTTTGGAGGGTGAGTGAGTTCTCGCTCTCACAGGAATGGATTAGTTTCCCTGACAGCAGATTGTTAAAGAGTCTGGCTTCCTCAGTTTCTCCCTCTTGCTTTCTCTCATCATGTGATCTCGTCACACAGCCTGCTTCCCCTTCTGTCATGATTTGAAGAAGACCGAGGCCCTCACCAGAAAAAGATAAAAGATGCCCAATCTTGAACCTTCCAGCCACCAAAATCTTAACATAAATAAACCTCTTTTTTTTTCTTCTTCTTTTTTTTTTTTTTGATCTGGAGTCTTGCTGCCGCCCAGGCTGGAGTGCAGTGGCACGATCTTGGCTCACTGCAACTTCCACCTTCCAGGTTTAAGGGATTCTCCTGCCTCAGCTTCCCGAGCACCTGGGATTACAGGTGTGCATCACGATGCCTGGCTAATTTTTGTATTTCTAGTAGAGACAAGGTTTCACCATGTTGGTCAGGCTGGTCACGAACTCCTGACCTCAGGTGATCTGCCTGCCTTCGCCTCCCAAAGTGTTGGAATTACAGGCATGAGCCACCGCACCCAGCCAACCTCTTTTCTTTATAAATTACTCAGCCTCAGATATTTTGTTATAGGAACACAAAATGAACTAAGATAATCATGAACCTTTATATTTTAGGGCAGATTTTTAAACATAAAAGTTAAAAGATACCGTGAATGATCTACATGTTAACGGGTTATAAAATCCATCTGTTCACCTACATTCCAACCCACTAAGAATACATACATTTACAAATACAATTTATTGACGATTAAGAGTAAAAAATTCAGACCCACTGCTTATCATAAGTGAAGGGCTGTAAGCCAACCCCTTTCTGGCAGAGTGAGAGCCCGTCCCTGAGCGTGGTACCTTCTTCTCTCTTATGCTGTCGGCCTGCATGGTTTCCAGGCGGGCTTTAAAGTGCTCACAATCCATTTTCAGCTGCTCTAATTCTTGCTCTTTCCTTTCCAGGTCTAGGAGAAAGAGATATAAAAATACTCAAGATATTTCAAGTCACTAATCTCTCCCTAAGCATCTCTGTTGCCCAATCTTCACTTAGTAAAATCTGCACGGATTTCTTGGGTAGGAATATTTGCATTTCTGACTTCTAACCTGTCCTGGAATAAATAATATTCTAAAAGTCTTGTTTTTTAAGTTCATCTCAGTTTTTAGTCCACAGCACAAAGGACTTTGGTTGTTTTCTGTTTTGTGTTTTTAAGGCCTCACTTTACTGCCAGACTAGTACTCAAGGCTTCAAGAAAATGTTATTTAAAGGACTGAAGGCAGAGCTGAGAAGCACGACTGTCTCATGGCACAGACTTGTCGCTACTCCCTGAGAAGCAGAAGGCAGCTCAGGAGTGTGCAGAGCCAGCACAGGCTGATTCACAAAGCTAGTGGCACCCACTGGCAGACTGACTCAATGGAACAACTGCAGTAGTAGGCACTGGAGGAGGAAATCACAGCATTAAAAATCGGAAAATGCTATGGTGAAAGAGTGGGAACTACATAATACCGCCTCTCCACCACACTCATTCAGCTGATGAGTCAACAGCAGCCAACAAAAATCCCCAAAAACCCATGTCAACAAATCAAGCAAAAGTATTATCAACTTTAAATTTAAAACATTATGTTGCAGAAATACTGACATTCAAAAAAATCAAATACGTAATACAAATTGTTAAGGGTTTGATCTCCAGAGCTAGGAAATCATCAGTTTTTATGCCAACATATATGAAGATTTGAGGGGGCTAAGAGCTAATGGTATAAATTCTCTGATTAAAGTAGCAATGCTTTAGGACAGTGATTCTCGAACTTCAGAGTATATCAGAATCCCCGGAGGACTTGATAATAGAGAGTAAGCTGGGTCCCATCCATGGAGTTTCCAATTTGGAATGTTTGGGGTGAACTAGAGAATTTACATTTCTTTTTTCTTTCTCTTTTTTTTTTTTTTTTTTTTCCTGAGACAGAGTCTTGCTCTCTTGCCAGGCACCGGGCTGGAGTGCAGTGGCGCAATCTCGGCTCACTGCAACCTCCCCCTCCCAGATTCAAGCAATTCTCCTGCCTCAGCCTCCTGAGTAGCTGAGACTACAGGCACACGCCACCATGCCCAGCTAATTTTTGTATTTTTTTAGTAGAGGTGGGGTTTCACCATGTTGGCCAGGATGGTCTTGATCTCTTGACCTTGTGATCCTCCTGCCTTGGCCTCCCAAACTGCTGGGATTACGGGTGTGAGCCACCACACCCGGCCAAGAATTTACATTTCTAACAAGTTCCTGGGTGAGACTCATGCTACCAGTCTGGGACCCACACTTTGAGAACTGCTACTTCTGGGCAGTAACCTGGTTTCTCATTCCTAATAAAATAAAGTGAATACATAACACATGACCAACAACAGCAAACCAAGGGAACCCATCTGCAGTAATGGCAAAGTACAAAAACATGGAGGGAACTGAAAGGCAGTACAAATAGTTGTCACACGAAGGCATTTCACTTTCTACAGTCCCTCTCCTAATCCCTGAACCGAGAAAAACACAAGGCAACTTTGGTTATCTGTACGTCTAATTCTTCTACTCTCACTTGCGATGAGTGAGAAAGCCTCCAAGAGCCAGACGCCTGGAGAACAGAACATTACTGCCCCCTAGAGGAGAAAACGCTCACACACACTTCCTCAACCACGCAAACCAAAGAGAAGGGGGTAGAGCTTCCGAATCTAGGGGTCTGGGAGGCCAAGAGGAAACCCCAATCAGAAACTTGTGGGGACCGCTTAGAACCACATGGGTATCTCCAGAGCTCCAAAGGAAGCTTTAATAAAGGGAGGAAGAAATAAAGCTAGTCTCTACATTTTCTAGAGACCCTGTCCTAGCAGAAAGATTAGAACCTAAAAGTAAATATTCAGACCAGCTAAACATTGTAAAACTGGCTGCCAAAGCTTCTTATAAAACGTGTTTCCTAGGGGCCAGGTTCGGTGGCTCACACCTGTAATTCCTTTGAAAGGCTGAGGTGGCATGATCACTTGAGGCCAGGAGTTCAAGATCAGCCAGGGTGAGACCCCCAACCCATCTCTTTTAAAAAAAAAAAAAAAAAAAAAAAAAAGCATTTCTCAGAAATAGGGCAAAGTAAGTACCTTTGGACTATTTCTTCTCCCTCAAGTCAGAGTTTCATTTTCTGCTCTTTTAAGAAATATTGTGCCACAATAACTTTTACTGGAATTATTGATTTTATCTTAATCCTGGCCACTCAAAAAATCAACTAGCAAGCATCAACTATGCTTTCAAAACTACATAGCTGCATTATTTGTAACAATGTTAAACGAAGACATTGTTTATATACAAACACACTACAAGCATCATATATGAAATACCACCTATGGTCATAGGCAAAAACTGAAAAAGAAACAGATAAAATTTCTGTGATTTAAAATTTTTTCTTTGCATTTAACTGTTAAATTTTGCTTCTACTATTAAACTATATATTACTCAAACATGGTAAAGGAAATAGGAAATCTCTACAAACCTCATCGTGTAAAAACCTGTGGGCATTAACGCTGACCACCCGAAAGGGCTCTCTTGCACTATGGTAATTTCATAACCGCTTGTTCTAGACAGCTGTGCACAACCCTAGTGTAAGTTAACATACCAAAGGGACAGGGTTAAAACATCCCACTCTATCCTAGGCAATCTCAGAGAATTCCAGGTCAGTGACCAGGGAGGCCACACCGATTCACACCAGCCTCCTGGGGAGGTGGCAGGTGCCCTTCTGCTGTATGAGGCCACCGCCTTCTGGCCAGATGGGAGCATTGCTGCTGCCTTGGAACAGAACTCTTAACAAGGTACCTAAATCCACCCTGAGGGCAGGGATTTGCCCCGGTTTTGTTCTACGCCTACCTTCCAAATGTCTATATTGAACATAGTATGCAGTACATAAATACTTGTCACATAAATGAATTTCACTTCTTTATACATTCCTTCTGCTAATCCTTGAACCAAGAAAAACACATGGCTACTTTGGTTATCTGTATGTCTCATTCCTACACAATAAGAATATATTGCTTTTATAATTTTTTAAATCCAGAGACAGAAACAATATGAGCAGTGTATATTACAAATGACCTGAATCGTAGACCATTTGAACACCTATGTATGTTCTGAAAAAATAATTTTTTTTTTTGAGACCAAGTCTTGCTCTGCTGCCCAGGCTGGAGCGCAGTGGTGCAATCTCAGCTCACTGCAACCTCTGCCCAGGTTCAAGCACTCCTCCCACCTCGGCTTCCCGAGTAGCTGGGACTACAGATACCCACCACCACGCCTGGCTAATTTTTGTATTTTGGGTAGAGACGGGGTTTCACCAGGCTGGTCTTGACCTCCTGACATCAAGTGATCTGCCCACCTTGGCCTCCCAAAGTGCTGGTATTACAGGCATGAGCCACTGCACATGGCCAATAATCTTTCCTCAATGCAGGTCTAATAACACGAGGCCGCCAGGTGTAATAACATTAGGCCAGGCATGGTGGCTCATGCCTGTAATCCCAGCACTTTGGGAGGCCAAGGCAGGTGGATCACCTGAGGTCAGGAGTTCAAGACCAGCCTGGCCAACATGGCAAAACCCCATCTCTACTAAAAAAGATACAAAATTAGCTGTGCATGGTGGCACATGCCTGTAATCTCAGCTGCAAGGGAGGCCGAGGCTGAAGAATCGCTTAAACCCCGGGGGCAGAGGTTGAAGTGAGCTGAGATAATGCCATTGCACTCCAGCCTGGAAAACAAGAGTGAAACTCTGTCTCAAAAAAATAAATTAATAAATAACATGAGAATGGCTCTATCTCTTGATACCCAACTTATTCACAGGGAGGGTATAGAAAGCTAGACATGAAAAGAAGGATTTCTAAAACACTAATCAAATAAAACTATACAAAAGGGATCAATTTATCTTACCATTTCTTTGTCACCTGGCATGTGAGGTCAGGAGTTCAAGAGCAGTCTGGACAACATGGTGAAACCCCATTTCTACTAAAAATACAAAAATTAGCGAGGTGTGATGGTACATGTCTGTAGTCCCAGCTACTTAGGAAGCTGAGGTGTGAGGATTGCTTGAACCTGGGAGGTGGAGGTTGCAGTGTGCCAAGATCACACCACTGTACTGCAGCCTGGGCAAAAGAGCCAGACTTCAACTCAAAAAAAAAAAAAAAAAAAAAAACTAAGATCAATCTTGCTGAACTCAGATGAATTCTGTTGATTTCCCAAACCAGGGTCAGGGAATTTTGCTTTTCATTCACTGACACACATATATGACAGACAGTGGGGCAGTCAGGGGTGATATTCAAACACTACATGCCTCTTCCCCCTCCATCTTCACCACCTTTCCACCGTCTTTGTCCATAAGGTCCCCACATTTTTTTTCTCTACCTTCCCATGTTCTGGACAATCTCCAAGTGGTCCTCCCTGCTGGGTGAGGCCTCAAGTGCTGTCAAGCATTTGTCCAGAGCGACGCCTCTCACCAAGTCTGGCACCTCTCTCCCTTCTGCTCCTTCGGCCCAGGGGAGGCAATGGCGCTCCGCTTCGCTACTTCCTGGATGCCTCTTTCTCCAGGCACTGGTTCCCTTATCCCTGATCACACCTTAATCTCTTCACTTGTCTCTGTTTACTCCTGTTGTTCCTTGCCAGGATATGGACGGGACACACTCTGATGTTCTTTCATCTGGGCCACAATAAACTCTGGGTCAGAGTAATAACCCTTTTCTTGGTCCTCTCTTTTTTTCCATTCTTCATGGGTATTTCTCAAGTTCCTGGTTCTGCAGACTACAAATAACTCCTCTCAGAACTGAAACAGGGGTACCCCATATCAAACTCTCAGGAAATCAATCTCAAAATATCCTACAAACTCTTTAGAAATCACATAGTGTGCCAGATACAGGTGAAGGGGAGGAAGGCAGCAATCCACACTGCCACGTGTGTACCTATGCAACAATCTTGCATGT